TTTCTGAAGATGGGCCCTGCACATGGGGCACTTCCGCGCTGCGTCGGCCTCTCACAGTTTCCCCCGCCGCCTGCCTTGCGCGTGAGGTCGCTGGGTATGCCCCCGACCCTGCAGACGCTGGGCTGCAAGCCGTCCTCTCCTTGCGGCCACTTCGGGCGCCCCCGAGGCCCGCCTGCTTCCCCCTTCCTGTTCGGGGTGCCCCTGGGCCCCCGGGCCTGCGACCCGCCTGGAGTCCGCTGTCTCTGCCCGCGCGGGGTTGGCGAACACCCGTCTTCCCTCGCGTCGCCTCCCCCAGGGGCGGCTGCTTTCCCTGGCTCTGGCTCTCGCCGCCTCCAGCGCTGGGCTGCGACCTTCTCCGGCTGGTTCCCCGCCTCTACTGCTCCCGCGCCGCCCAGGCGTTGGCTTTCGCCCCCCCGCCGTGGTGGTGCCCCCGCTGCTTCCACCTCCGCTCTCGGCGATCCGGAACCTTTCCGTCGAGCGCTTGCACGCCCTGTTCGACGTCCTCTTCGGCTGCGTCACGGCGGTCACCGAGTTCGTCGGCTTCTTGCTCTTCGCCATTTGGGCGCTGCACGTCGACCTGCGGTTCATCCTGGTCCTCCGCGTTTTCTGAGCCGCAGCGTAGCCCGCTCCTGTGGCTCCGGTGCGTAATTGAGGCCGTTGCATTGTTGTTTCGTTCTGACGGCGCGCGGCTGTACCGCCTGCGCCCGCGACAAAAAAGTAACCCCACCAGTCCATCCAGACACGATGCCCACAGGATTTGCTTCGATCAGGGAAGTGGGCAGTACAAGGAGGAAGGGTCCCTCTTGGAGCGCTCGTGGGGGCACTCTGGGGCGCTCGTGGGGACGTCTTGGGACTCTCTTGGGCCTCTCCTGCGTCTTGGGGGCGTGTTGGCGGTCCCGGGGGCCTCTGGGAGCGTCTCGGGGAGTCGTGGTTTTCGCGCGTACCTATTCCTGCCCTTGCCTATATCCTCTTGTTCCTCCTAATTCCCACTTGCTTCTTTCTACTTCCTCCTTGTCGGAGGAGTGGGAGGAGGATGGAACGGAGGAGGAGGAGGAAGAGAAGGCGGTGGGATGAGAGAGGAAGAGAGCGACGACGACGACGAGGAGAAAGGCAGCCCTTCCAGGGACGATGCCCGGACAAGCTGCCCTACTCAAGGACGTGGGGGAGCATACACAGTAACAAAAAGCTGGGGAAGGCGGAGGAGGGCGAAGAGGAGAAGGAGGAAGGAAAAGGAGAAACTGGAGGAGGATGAGGAGGATGAGGAGGAGGAGGAGGAGGAGGAGGAGGAGGAGGAGGACGAGGAGGAGGAGGAGGAGGAAGGAGGGAGGAGGAGGAGGAGGAGGAGGAGGAGGAGAGGAGGAAGGAGAGGAGGGGGAGGAGAGAGGAGGGAGGGGGAGGAGGAGGAGGAGGAGGAGGAGGAGGAGGAGGAGGAGGAGGAGGATGAACGGGGAGGGTAAGGAGGAATATAAGGATGAGGATGCGGAGGAGGAGGAGGGGAGGATGAAGTGGGAGAGGGGGAGGAGAGAGGAGGGAAGATGAGGAGGAGAAGGCTGATAAGGAGGAGGATAAGGAGGAGGAAAAGGATGATGATGATGATGATGATGAGGAGGAGGAGGAGGAGGAAGAGGAGGAGGAGGAGGAGGAGGTGGAGGAAGAAAGAGGGCGAACAGAAGAGCCATACGCCTTTCGAATGACTCTCGGAGTCTCCTGTGGTTTCTCTTGGAAGTGAAGAGGAGGAGGAGGAAGATGAGGAGGAGGAGGAGGAGGTGGCGGCGGAGGAGGAGAAGGCGGGGGAGAGAGAGGAGGAAGGAGGAGGAGGAGGAGGCGGATAAGGAGGAGGAGGAGGAGGAGGAGGGGGAGGAAAACGTGACGATCGATCAGAAGCCTCCGCGGATGTCTCTTGTTGTTTGATGCATCTTGGAGCGTCTGGGGGGCATCTTGGGTGCCTCGGGGATCCTCTTGAAGCCTCTTGGGTGCCTCTTGGGGGCCTCCTGGAGGCCTCTTGGGCGCCTCTTGGGGCCCTCTGTGGGCGCTCTTGGGAGCCTTGGGGGCGCTCTTGGAGCCATCTTGGAGGACATCGATCAAAAAAGAGAGGTTCCTCAATTTGCGCTGCCCATCAGGAGCCCCAAACATCGCCTCCTGGACCCCTCTTGGAGCGCTCTGGGGCGCTCTTGGGGCCGTCTTGGGGCTCCCTTGGGCCTCTCTTGGGGCCCTCTTGGGCCATGGTGGAGCCATCTTGAGGCCTCGGAAGGCTATCGAAAGCGAACGGGCAACGATGCACAGCTCATTGGTTGTCCTTGGGTGTTTGAGGGATTTGGGCCTCTTGGAGGCCTCCTTGAAGGTCTCGGAGGCCTCCTGGAGGCCTTTTGGAGCATCTTCGGAGCCATATTGAGACATCTCAGGCTATCTTGAGCCATCTTGGAGCTCATATTGGGCTTTCCGATGCGCTCTTGGCGCCGTCTTGGGGCATCTTGAACGCTCCGACTACCAGCGTCCCTCCCCGTCCAGGTCCAGGGGAGGGGGTAGGTGGAGAGGTCAAGCTACCCACCCGCCCGCAAGCCGTCTAGCTCACTCCCACCCGCCCTCCCAACACATAAGTAATTCCCGAACCCGAGCATGTTCAGCGGTCGTCTTTCGATGGGCAGCTACTGGGAACCAAGACCGACCCTAGGTGCGCGACGCTTGGGCGAGGTGCGCCACGCGTGCCAGAGGCGCCACGCGCGCCAGGCACCCCTGGGGCCCGAGCGTGCCAGGCACGCCTGGCGCGCCATATGCGCTACGTGCTCCGAGTGCGCCAGGTGTGCCGCACACTCCAGCCGCACCAGGTGCGCCACGTTCGGGGCACGTGCAGAGTGCGTCAGGTGCGTCTGCGCACGTGACTACAAATCGGGAAACATGTCGGCCCCCACCATCCTTGTCGAATACCAATGCCCATATTTGTGTCTAGTGGGCCTGCGCACAGCAGGCCACGCGCCACCCCCCGCGCGGCCCCTGTCAAGAACCGTTTGACAGTGAGCGCGGGATGGTCGCGCATGATCCAGATTTAGCCGCGAGGTGCATGTTGTATTGTTGTTTTGACAGGGGTGGTAGCCTTGCGCACAGCAGGGAATATGCTGACACCCCCGCCGTCCCTGTCAAAAACAATACAAAGGGCTCGCGGGCCTCACGAACATGACTCAAGAATTTGCCCCGAAGTGTGCTTTGTATTGTTTTTGACAGGGACGGTGGGGGGGGGCGCATCGGGTTGGCCGCGCATGCTCCACATGTGGAGGCAAAGTGCGGTTTGTACTGTTGTTTTGACAGGGATGGTGGGCGGCTGGTCGTCATGGTGTCCTCATGGTTCCTGGTTGGACGCTGGTCGTCTGGGGGAGGGGGTGTATGTTAATGAGAAGCAGTGGTGAACCTCTCCCCGAAGGGAAGAAGGGGGTTGGAAGAGGAGCCTCCCTAGACCACCTACGCCCTAAAGGGCTGATGGGACTCGCCAACTATATGTATGTACATATATATATACACACAAGACTGCAGCGGCGCTTCGCGCCATGCACCTTGGTCCTTGAAGTTTGGTATGCAGGTGGAATAGCAGGAAGGTCAAGCCGACAATTTAGCGATACCTCCTTGTTGCCTTTTCCGGCATCGCCGCTATAATAATGTTTTTCGTTATCCTTCCTCCATGCTTCTTTTTTATTTTCGCCATACCCTGCACATTCTCCTCATCCTCCTCAGCTCTTTTTTGCGGAGGCTCCTCCTTGGAGAGCTTCTGGGGGCCTCACAAAAGTTGTTTCAGGCATTCTGAAGGCCTTCTGGAGGCCTCCTGGGCGTATTCTGGGGGCCTCTGGGGGTTTCCTTGGGCCACCCTGCCTCCAACCGCGGTCTCCCTGAACGACCGGGTCACGATTTGGAATGCTTCGGAGGGTGTCTTTGGGCCATCTTGGGCCGCGATGGGGCTCTCTGAGAACCATCTTGGATCCGTGTTGTGCCGTTTTGGGGCTCTCTTGGACTGCCTGGAAACCCTTTCGGATGGTTGTGGGGGGATTTTGGAGCTTCCAAGGCGGCTGCGGACGCCCAGAAGACCGCCGTCTTGGAGCGTCGGGAAGCCGAAACGAGGAGAACCCCTAAATTCACCCAAAACCCACCAAAAAACAATGATTTTTGTCTCTGGGGGCCTTCTTGGGAGTGCTCTTGGAGGCCTCTTTGGGGCAGTCCTGGAGGCCTCTTGGGCCATCTTGAGGTCACGTCGGTCACTCTTGGAGCGCTCTTGTGCTGTCTTGGGGGTCTCTGGGACGTCTCCGATGACCCCCCTGATTGCCCTAGGTGTGCTGGGAAGGCTTGGCAAAACGCCTTGCGAGGCCCGGGAACCGCTTCGAGGCCCGTTCGGAGGGTCCCAAAGCCCCACATCCCGGGAGTCCGTTTTTTTTTGGGGGGGGGGTCCCCCCGCCCGGGCTTATAAACATTTAGGAAGAGGAATAAAAACATGGCGTTGGAAATCTACGAAGTTCTCTTTCCTTTACTCCTCTCGCCCCCGAACCCGACTGCATAGTTCCCTCCCAGGAGATTGGCGCCACACCAACATACTGACATTGTGTGTGTGCGCGTCGCCCCCCTCCCAAGGGCGACGCGCGCGCCGGGAAATCTTGTAGTACAAGTTCCGTGGCGGGCGCTTTCTGGCCATACCGTTTGGGAAACGATCTACTGCAATACGCTTGCACTACAGTGGGAGTTCGACCACAAGAAATCTTCAACAAGAAATCCGTCACTGAGACCCCAGGACGTCCATTGATTCTTGGTGTGGGACTGTCACGCTGTCCATAACAAAACCATCGAAACCCATAAGCCCAAGGCACCCTCGAGGCAAGCAGGGTGTTTCTTGGGGACGCACGCTTCCAACGCCAGCACACAGTACTAGTACGTCTTTCGGCGTCCCAGGAGAGGGCGTGGTCCCTGCGCGGGGCGCCCGCCACCGCCGCGGGCGGGCGCGCGCCCGCGGCCGCGCCCGCGGCCGCGCCGCCGCCCGCGCCGCGCGGCGCCGCCGCAGACGAGCCAGCCCCCGGCGGCGCACAGAGGGGGGGCGCGGGGCCCACCTCGTCCGCCCCCTCCTCGTCCTCCTGCTGCTCCTCTTCTTTTTGCTCCTTCTGCTGCTCCTGCTGCTCCTCCTGCTCCTCCTGCTCCTCCTCCTCTTCTTCCCTTTCCTCCTCCTCCTCCCCGTCCTCCTCCGTTCACTTTCCTTATACATAACTTCTCCCTGTCGCACCCCGAACCTGTTTTTAGGGCGGGCCGGGCGTTTCGCTTGAGCCCTCCTCACCACTTATGACCCTGAAGTTTAACAAATGGAAACAGCTTCACGTATTGAAGGCGGGTGGTTTCAAAATGTGGTTCTCGCCTGAGCGCCGCGCGCATTCTTTTCGAAAGTTGCAAGAGCTTCGCAGATTGAGGGCGGGTCGTGTTCAAACTGTGGTTCTCGCTTTAGCGCCGCGCACATTCGTTTCAAACTTTACAAGAGCTTCACGGATTGAGGGCGGCTCCTTTTTCAAAACGTGCTTCTCGCTGTAGCACCGCGCGCACGATTTTAATTGAGGACGGGTGGTTTTCAAATTGTGGCTCTCGCTTTAGCGCCGCGCACATTCGTTTGAAACTTTGTATCAGCTTCACGGATTGAGGGTGGGGGGTTTCAACATGTGGCTCACGCTTGAGCGCCGCGCACATTCGTTATATATGAACATACACATGCAACAATACCTATTGTAGAACAAACGACAAGAGTTTAACGGATGCCCATGATCAGCATTCGCTTTAAAAATCTTACAAGTGTTTCACGGATTTCCATGATCAGCGTACCAGAACTGGTGTAGGACAAATCGGGGTTATGAGGGCGCCACAGTTACGCTGATTCGTCGGAATGGCGTTCTGGCGCGATTCAGGATCGCGAAGACGCAACAGTCAGGTTGATCCGTGACGTTGGAGTCCCGAGAGTATTTTGTTGGCATGCTTCGGGGTCTTCAAATGGTTGCCTTCCAGCGAGGCATCCTTCAGTGGAAATGAACCGCTTTATGGGGCCTATGAAGAGGGAGTTTGGAGGGAGGCTTTACTCGAACATCGTGGATACTCTTGGGTTTACACTGGTCCTCCTCCTCCTTCTCCTTCTCCTCCTCCCACTCCTCATAGTAGCAGCTCCGTGGCGGGCGCTTTCTGGCGATGCCGCTAGGGACACGATCTACTACAACAGTTTTTGTCATATGACTGTTTCGGACGAGGCCCTCCAACAGCAGCGCAGTAGTGGTAGTACTACCACTCGTAGTAGTAGTAGTAGTAGTAGTAGTAGTAGTAGTAGCCGTAGTAGTAGTCGCAGTAGTAGCTGTAGTAGTAGGAATAGTAGTAGTAGTAGTCGTAGTAGTAGTAGTAGTAGTAGTAGTAGTAGAAGAACTCGTAGTAGTAGTAGCAGTAGTAGTAGTAGTAGTCGTAGTAGTAGTAGTAGTCGTCGTAGTAGTAGTAGATGTAGTAGTAGTAGTCGACGTAGTAGTCGCCGTAGCAGTATTATTTGTGGTAGTAGTAGTAGGCGTCGTAGTAGTATAGTAGTGGTAGTAGCAGTGGTAGTATTAATAGTAGTAGTAGCAGTAGCAGTAGTAGTAGTTGTAGCAGTAGTAGTGGGCAGTACTAGTAATAGTATTAGTAGTTGTAGCAGTAGTAGTAGTAGTCGTAGTAGTAGTGGTAGTAGTAGTAGTAGTCGTAGTAGTAGTAGTAGTAGTAGTAGTGGTCGGTAGTCGTAGTAGAAGTAGTAGTAGTCGTAGTAGTGGGCAGGAGTAGCAGTGGCAGTAGTAGTGGTAGTAGCAGTAGTCGTAGTCGCAGTAGTAGTAGTAGTAGTAGTAGTAGTAGTAGTAGTAGTAGTAGTAGTATGAATCGTAGTAGTGGCAGTAGTAGTGGCAGTAGCAGTAGTAGTAGTAGTAGTAGCAGCAGTAGTAGTAGTAGTAGTCGTAGTCGTAGTAGAAGTAGTAGTAGTAGTAGTAGTAGTAGTCGTAGTAGTAGTCGTAGTAGTAGTACTAGTACTCGTAGTACTATTCGCATTATTAGTACTAGTAGTGGTGGTGGTGGTGGTGGTAGTAGTAGTGTTTGTAGTAGTAGTCGTAGTAGTAGTGGTAGTAGTAGTAGTAGTAGTAGTAATAGGAGTAGCCGTAGTGGCAGCAGTAGCGGTAATGGGTAGTAGTAGTAGTAGTAGCAGTAGTGGTAGTAGTAGTAATAGTCGTAGTAATAGAAGTCGTAGGAGTAGTAGTAGTAGTAGTAGCAGCAGCAGCAGTACTAGTAGTACGAGTAGTACGAGTAGTAGTGGTAGTGGTTTTGGTAGTGGTAGTGGTAGCAGTAGTAGTAGTAGTAGTAGTAGTAGTAGTAGTCGTAGTAGTCGTAGTAGTCGTAGTAGTAGTAGTAGTAGTACTAGTAGTAGTAGTAGTAGTAGTTTCAGTGAGGAGTATTAGTAATTAAGTAGTGGTAAGTGTAGTAGTGGAGTAGTGGTAGTAGTAGTAGTAGTAGTAGTAGTAGTGGTAGTAGTAGTAGTAGTAGTAGTAGTAGTCGTAGTAGTAGTAGTAGTAGTAGTGGTGGTGGTGGTAGTAGTAGTAGTAGTTTGTAGTAGTTGTCGTAGCAGTAGTGGTAGTAGTAGTAGTAGTAGTAGTAGTAGTAGTAGGAGTAGTGGGATCAGTACTAGTAGTATTAGTAGTTGTAATAGTACTAGTTGTAGTAGTAGTGGTAGTAGTACTTCTAGAGATACTAGTAGTTGTAGTAGTAGTTTCAGTGGCAGTATTGGTAGTAGTAGTAGTAGAAGTAGTAGTAGTAGTAGTAGTAGTAGTAGTCGCAGTAGTAGTACAAGTAGTAGTCGCAATACGT